CCATGACTTAGACAATTTTTAACAAATTTTCTAATTATCTTATAAATGTTATTTATCTTTATTTTTATAATATGTTCGACTTGTATTTCTATTATTTATCATATTTTAAATATTTTTACAAGGTTTTAAATAAATTTATTTGTTCTGAAAGACAATATTTTGCCTTAAATTTTCTGTAATATTTGTCTAATGTCTGAAATAAATTTATATTAAATTTATGCTTATTAATGTAATTTTATTGCTTATATATATTTTAAGACTATTTTTGATGCCACTTTATATTGAATTTAATTATTAATAATAATATTGGGCCGTCACAATATGCAGAAGAAACAGCGTTGGCGATAGCACGCAGCCTTGGAACACCAGTATTAATAGGCTTGTAATCGGAGCTTGCACCGTCTACGACCGTGCAACCTTGATGCTCCGATCTGCAGGAAAGCTGGTTATCCAAAGCATAATTTCTCGGGAAGCCCATAGGAAGGGAGCTTCGAAAGAAGCGCTTTTGTGCCAAACCCGATCGAAGGCCTTCGCGATGTCCAAACTGTGGCGGCGCTGTCGTCACGCCACAAGCGAAATACACCGAAGCCTAAATCACGCTATCAACATTCCGAATCATAAACAGTATATATAGAACATCTCCGAACTATCACACGGAGTGTGGCCGCTCCCCGGGCAGAATACCGTGCCAGGCGGGAGATCTCCCATTTTCCTTCCACGGCCACAGTGGTGCCCATCCGACGTGATCTGAACACGCAACCAAACAACCTTCGGAAACTTCAAGCTTCATCATCGTCATAGAATACCCCACCCATTCGCTCCCGAGCAGATATCGTCTGCAGTGTTCATATCCTGCAAGCCATCTAGCATCACAAGGTTCATCGCAGCACTGGAATAATAATGCTTTCTGTTCCTTCAAGCTACTCTCTGCGCCATACAGTGTGCGGCACGGCTCTGAGCCTTACTGCTCGCCTCTGCTTCACGGCACTCTCGCAGATTACTTGCCTTCTTCTCAACTCACCGCAGACTACAAGGCAATCTCCTGGCACTTGCACATTCGTCGACAACTCGACTGCACTATCGACCTCCGGTCTGAGCAGGGGGTGATGTGGCGGCGCTGTCGTCGCGCCACTAACGAAATACACCGAAGCCTAAATCACGCTATCAACAGTCCGAATCATAAACAGTATATATAGAATATCTCCGAACTATCACACGGAATGTTGGCCGCTCCCCGGGCGGAACACCTTGCCCGACGGGAGATCTCCCATTTTCCTTCCACGGCCACAAAACTAACGGCCAATGCCTCCCCCTTGGACTCTATCGCCTGCGCTCATTTATGAGTTAGGTAGACCAGAAGATCACCAGCTGATCGGCCACGACGAAAACCGTATTGGCGATCACTAATCAGCTGGTGATCCTCAAGGTACCTCATGAGCTGGTAGTTTACAATACTCCATTCTTTTGGAGAACAAGGAGGTGATAGGCTGGTAGTCGGTAGTCGGATTCTGACCGTTTGTCTAATGGTATAAGCTGCTTAGGATATATTTCTTCAACTTTTTAATATGGAGGCGTAAATTTCATAGTTAGACACGTACGAGCTGTTGCAGGGAGGATTTATATAAATATAAATATTTAAAAAATCTAAAGATTGACGATCGCGGTACCAGACGTCGCGCTGGTCTGACCTAAGCGAGATGGTTATTTCGGCATCTTTTGGAAGCCATAACATTTTATTAATAATGGCCCCATGACGGGTCTGAGCGGTCGTCTTTTATAGGGATATATCAGATGGACGAAAGCCGTCTTCCATGATTTTGGGATTACGCCTAGGGAGTAGGAATACCGAAAAAGACGCGTTAAAACTGGTGCCAACTCTGGAGCACATATCCTCAGCACAATTGGGGGTTTCCGTCAGGCCCACTCGACTTGTGGATGTCCAGGGAGAGGATTGTTTTGCGAACCGAGCGCTGTGTGAACTGCACTTCCGGCATGGAGCTCTCACACCGCGGGATGGTCCGCGGCTTACTCTCCCCGTCGTCGAGAGTCGAGTTGGACGCAAAGAAAGAGCCTAGGAGATCGATTTCTCCTTTGCGGTATGGGTCAGTGAGAGATGGCTGACAGAAATTCCCTGGACATCCTTGGCGAGGGACCAGAATGCACGAGTTCCAGAAGGAAGGCGAACTAGTTTCTCGCCAATTCTGCCTATGTGCTCTGACTTTGCCTTGGCAATGACTCATTTGAAGGACCTGGAGGCGGAATTATACTTATTTTTTAGAATGCTGGTGTTTACATTCCGGAGCGTTGATGCGTCAGCCTAGGCTTGGTAGCACTCCTGCTTATAGCATGATGCTATTTTACAGGAGCGACCAACCCATAGCTGAGATTTGCCCCCGATGGGCACCACAGAGGAAGGAATAAAAAGGTCCATACCCTGAAGTACCACATCAGCGACAGAATCCGCAACAACGTCCGGATCATCCGATGAAAAGCAAACCCGCAAGAGTAGGATGAAGAGAAAGACCGCATCAAATCCCAATCGGCTGACCTATAGTGCCAAACAAGGCGGCAGCCTGGAGAATGCAACTGCGATTTCAGCGTGAGTGGCATCACACACCGGACAAGACAATGATCCGGGGATCCAAAAGGGGTGTCAACAGAAATCTGATATTCGTCTGGGTGACAGGTCAGCAGAAGGTCCAACAGGGAAGGTGCATGATCCTCCACATCTGAAAGCCACGTAGGCGAAGTAACCAGTTGTGTCAGACTATATGCCAAGGCAAAATCATGAACAGATCTCCCCCGCATGATCGGTTGAACGTGAACCAAGCCATTTGGCGTGATGGGCGTTAAAGTCGCCGAGGATCACGATCTCTGCGGAGGGGATCTGCTGTAGCAACGAATCTGTAGCCATTTGGACGTGGTCGAAGAGTCGGTCTGTTTCGGCATTACCGCTATGGGACCTATAGAGACACCCGTAGACGCGCGAATGGTTGTCGCTGTCTACTCTTAACCAAATGATGGAAAGGTCCGAAGAACTGTCTTCTTCAAGACTGCTTTGGCGTCGAGAACATATGTTCTCTCTGACGTAAACGCAAACTCCAGCCCGAGGCACAAAGGAGAGTTTATATTCGTAAAAGTGATGTGATTTTGTGAATTAAGTGTCTGCGCGTGTGAACTATTAGAGAGAACGACGAAACAAGTGCTTTGATGTTTATTTAACCCCTCACCTGATGAGCGGGTAAGCGCTATGTTGTCGTAATTTGATAGGCCGTTTTGAGATAACTTCACGCGGTGAGATCTATGTTCTTTTTTATTACTTTTACGGTCTCATTGTGCACAAATTCCAAACACATTGTATATCAATGGATTAATAGATAAATTTCCTATGATTTGAATGTACCTTTATTCTAAACTATTATAATATGACCGAACTATATGTAAGTGAAAAAAGAAAAAGGGTTATTTCTGAATTTCCGATTTAAAAGAAAAATAATCAAACAATTTATAGTTTTATTTCTGCACTTTATTTTACCTCTTATTATCCAGTAATAAGTACGTATAAAAATACTTGCATCTTTCATAGTAAAATGTTGAGAAAAATTACGATTTCCAAAAAGAGATTTTTTTATACATGAAAAAACATATCTAAAGTAGCTCAACTTTGCACGTTAGTTTTGTTCACTCCGTTTATTTAAACCCAGCAAAATATATATTTTTAAAAGCTTGATTTATGACTGTATAAATACATTCATAGATTGGGCTCAAATCTTCTTTTATTTTTCAATAGAAGGTAAAAATTAAGCCTGAAAGATGACCTTCAAAACTACGCCATTTTTATAAAAACTAAGCTAAAGTATTGAACAATGAACTTATATTCTTAAAGTACATAAAATAAGCTTTCTATGACCAAAAAAATAACTCCAAAGAATCCTTGAACATAAAATAGTTAAGCGATTCAAAACTATCAAAAATATATTGTCCTGTCGTATTATGACCGGTCATCAAGCAAGATTGAATGATTGATTGAAAAAATAGAAAAGCGCGCAGTGCATTTATTTTTCTAAAAATATGTAATGATGATATTAACACAGGAAAAGATAAGAAAAATTAAAATCTAAGCAAAATTATGCAAGTGAAAAGTGTATCTATATTAATATAACTCTGCTTGATAGCCGGTCATATCATAACCGGCCGGAACACGCATTTCGTTTGCCTTAAATATTTCAAATACGAATGAATTTATGTACTTCTACATAATACAGATTACTTGCTTATGAAATTATTAACTTAATAAAACAAAAACAATATGAACAAATTTGAAAGTAATCAAAAAAATCTTAAGAAATACGGCGGTGTGCGGATAAATTCTCGTTTACTCATGGTCATAATATGACAGGCGTATGACAGGTCATCAAACGTCCGCTTGCAAAATGCAGTCATAATGTGACAGCTCATCAAGTGAAGGGAACCTCAAGTTAATTTGATCGCTTGGGCGCCTTATGAACTTGAGTGGCTGTCGTCAACAACAATTCGCTGGGTTGAGCTGTCATCAAAATCTCCCAAAAACTTCGCAATGTGACTCGTCAGCATATTGTGAAGAAAAAATATATAAAATGAAGATTCTGAAAGAAATGATAGGCTCAGAAGGGCTAGTACCCAGAGCCGTAAAGCCAGTTAAATAAAAAAAATATGGTAGCTTCTGAGTTCTGAGGTCAATGAGATTAAATATTATTGGGTATTTGTTACTTGCACATATTTATTAATCTATGATTTGTTATAGAAACCCGATTTATCGGTTTAATATCTTGTATTCTTTTTAATTTAAGCGATTAATAATCATGTATTTTCTATATATGGTAGTATTTTTAGCAATAAGTTCTATTACAAATTCTAATTCATCGTTATTTGAAAGCGACTCCTGTTATTCCTTTGGAAGCGGTAATGTTTTTCCAGGTGGCGCTAGAAAAATTGACCATAAATTACAATTTACAAAAGCAATGAGTACGTATTGTAAAACCTGTTATGTGTGTATTTACACTCAAGAATTAATCTTTTTCCTTTTTCTTTCATAGTATCAAAACCGGCACCAGAGTGGGAGGCAACAGCAGTTGTAAATGGAGAATTTACTCAGCTGTCTTTGTCCAGTTTCAAAGGAAAATACTTGGTTTTTTTCTTTTATCCCTTAGACTTGTAAGTATCCTACTAACTCCTTAAAATGTTAAAATTTTAATATTGTCATTTTGTTTTACATTACTTATCTATATATTTCAGCACCTTCGTTTGTCCAACTGAAATATTAGCATTTTCTGAAAGGATAGAAGAGTTTAAGAAAATTAATACAGAAGTAGTAGCCTGTTCTGTTGACTCTCATTTTACGCATTTAGCTTGGATAAACACACCACGTAAAGAAGGTGGTCTGGGAAAAATTAATATACCACTCTTAAGTGATTTAACACATTCGATAGCTAAAGATTATGGTGTTTATTTAGAAGATTTAGGTCATACCCTGAGAGGATTATTTATAATTGATGATAAAGGTATTTTAAGACAAATTACTATGAATGATTTGCCAGTTGGCAGATCAGTAGATGAAACTTTAAGACTTGTTCAAGCATTTCAATATACAGACAACCATGGAGAAGTCTGCCCAGCTGGATGGAAACCAGGTCAAGATACTGTAAGTTTATTTATTTAAGTACAACAATGCTGAAATAGTATGCATACATAACTTAGATACAAATTGTACAAGCAATTAAAGGTATACAATTTCCTAAAAAGTTACCTAGTAATTCTAAATACATAATATACAAAAACTTAGAATACAACAAAAATAATATGTGTATAAAATATTGACTTACACTTAGTTACTTAAATAATGTATCATTTCATTAACTGTGGCCTTAAACTTAGCTAGAAATAACATAAACATCTATTAATCCACTGCACTTATATAGTTGGGTAATCCTGGAGAACAATGAATTGGCTTCCAAAACTCTTTTATGAAACAAAAGAGAGAATGTTCCAATGGGCTTACAAGGCATTTATGATGGAACTTTAGAATTAAATTTTTTGAGATGCAGGACAACACAAATGATATCTTATAATCTTAAAATAGAAGGTTAGGTTTAGTAGGTCCTTCACAAGATATGTGAGAGGCATAATGTGGATGCCAAATCACATTTCGATACTCAAAGATCGATCTGACAAAGCTATTGTAAAGCGCAATTTTTGAAGAAGGTTAACCCTTATTTTATTAAATTGACTTAATTCTTTATTATTTATTATTCAATGATGTTTTTTTTTCAGATAATTCCCAATCCAGCAGAAAAGAAAAAATATTTTGAAAAAGTAGCAAAAAATTAAAACCAATTAAGGTAAAATTTAAAAATGTGCTCAATTTCTTAGGCTGAAATCAAATTTTTTATCACATTTTTCAAGGATTTTGATAACTAAATCACATACCAGTGTCATAAGATTAGCTTAAGTAACATAATAGACTGTAAGGAGCTGTTAATAATTTTAGATAATCATTTTATATGTACATTGTTAAAAATTTATGTAACTCCACAATAAATTGGGAAATACTAATCATATAATTTAAATTGAAGTTTTTAAATGTACTATTTACCTATACTCTTTATTAAATGTTTACCTACTTTTTAACATTTTTAATGTCACTATGTTCATTAGTAAGACTGATACAAAATTGATATTGTTCTTATCAGGATTCCATATAATATTAAAGAATATTTCTAAATTTTTTTTTATTTGGAACAATGGATGGAGAATTGGGAGGTCTTTTCTCAATACAGGGATAATATGATATAAGGCTGACATAATATGATAGTAATAAAGTTTTTTTTAATTAATGATATTAATGTTTATGTGTAGCACTGTATAATTGATATGCTTCTATAAAGTGTGATATACAATGAAATGATTCTGCTTTTTAATTATTTGGGAGTTTAAAATGTTACTTATAATAGTTACTGTTTTTTTTTAATGAAGATGGGTACTTTATTATTTTTTCAGTATCAATGTCAATTTTTTTTGGTCTTTCATAAATAAAAAAAAATTAATTTTTGATATTGTAACATATCAGAAGGAACCTAAGCCATATATAATTTTATATTTATATATATATATATATATTATATATATATTTTAAAGATTTCCTCATTTTATTATTACTTTTTTGATATTTCTTTTCTAAAGAAGTGTGTAAGTGTGCATTACATTGTTTCATTTATCACTATCATAGCAGAGTTTAGGGCAACCTGACTATCGATGCATATTTAAATAGAAAATTGTATTTTCGACTTTTGTTTTATCATTTTTATAACCCCAAGTAATGTCAAAGCACGGCCATGAGCCACCTACATTTTCACTCTATCTAAAGAATGGGAAGCAAAATATTCAAATAGCATTATTATAATAAAAATAAAAATTATGCTACCTGCATAATTTACCTTATAAACTAGATTGATCACTGGTTGTTTAGTATTGATTAATGTCTTTCACTCTTAATTAATATTGCAAAATCATATTGGTTTCCCTTATTTAGTCTTAATCAATGATACATTTCACTTTTTTTACATATATGTCACTGCTGAAATACTAAGTGCAGTTATAACTGGATTTAGCTGGCTACAAACAGGTGCAGTATATTGTCCCTTGTGGAGTTACCAGTCGTAACATCCGGCGGATAAGGGAACGCCACCCAGTTGTGGGTGGTAGCGGGAAACCGCCGCGGACCAAAACTGGCTGGTTTTGCGCGAACCTTTGGTTCTAACTGAACCAAAAGTCCTTTTTACATTGAAGTTGCACCTGCTTCCGGTTTCGCTTTTAGATTAACGCGGACAGGGAACACTATACGTGTGGCGATGTGCCAAGCGCACTAATGCTGCGTGACATCCTCGCGGTATTGTGCAAAGTGTAGTAGTTTATTTGATAGTCTGGCATGAAGGCCTTATCTACAAATTACTCCTCTAACTTAGGCCTCCCTGACCGTCTTGTCCGTCTCGTGGCCTCCTATTTGAAGGATCGTACCTTTCGTTTCAGACACGAAAGCACGCTATCCTCTCCCCGTCATATCAAAGCCGGTGTCCCTCAAGGCTCTGTGCTTGCCCTCCTCTTATACATACTGTTCACCAACGACATTCCCATCCCGTCGAATGGTGTCAAACTCGCTCTCTTTGCAGATGACACAGACCATTACTCTAAAGGAAACTCACTGCTACCGATCCGGAACAAGATCCAAAAGTCAGTTAGTGACTTAAGAGCTTAGTTCCAAAAATGGCGTATTGACGCAAACCCGAAGAAGAGCTCTGCTGTTTGATTCGACCATAAACAACGCCGTCCCACTGCCACTCCGCCATTCAGGATGTTAGGAAGCCCTGTCCCCTGGCAAACGACAGCCAAATACTTAGGAGTCACCCTTAATACGAGGCTCACTTTCGAGCCTCATATCAAGGAAGTAACTTGTACTGTGCGATTTTACATGGGTAGGCTCAACAGCATGTTGGGCAGACACAGTAAAATGTCCCTCCGCAACAAGCGAACCCTATATAAGGTTTGTATACGACCTCTTATGACCTACGCGGCCCCTATTTTTGCTCATGCTAAACCTAGATTATTAAATGAACTCCAAATAGTTCAAAACCTCTTCTGTCGTCGGGCTACGAACGCACCCTATTACGTCCGTAACGCCGATCTCCACCGAGACTTACTTTTTTACTTTACTTACACCGAGAATTCTGCAATTCTTAAAATCACTCTCCGAGAACTTCTTCAAAGCCTCAGAGTCCCACCCAAATCACCTCATTCGCGAGGCAGCCGCCTATGCAGCCCCACGGGCCGGGCTGGGCGGGTCCAAGAGTTTCTCGCAGGCCGGGAAACTCTTGGACCCGCCCAACATGCTTTCGACCGACCTGAATTGCCTCCTGGCGGCTCAGGCCGAGCCTTCACATCTCATATCGTAATCTGCTTAGTAAGGCACACTTCTCAGCGGCGGCTTCTCTCAATGGGGGTCGCGTTCGATACGGCTTAGAAAATCTCGCCATATCATTAAGCCAATTTCAAAGGTGGTGTTTAGTGGGTAAATGTCTCCACATAACCTGCTGCTGGCTGCGGGGTATGCTATTAGCATTCACCACCTCTCTCCCCTGTTTACCGGAGGGTAGCCCTTATAAAAAAACGGGATTTATTCATTCGCGGCAGCTCAACGATCAAGACAAGAACAAGCAAGAAAAAATACCCCTCAATCTTGTTATTAGGTTTCCATTTGTTATGCAATAGTGTTAGAATATTTAACTGCTGCAATATTGTAAATACTGTAATAAATTAGTGTTAGTTTCGTACTTTCTTTAATTTAACTCAGCCTCTAGCAGAATAAATTAGCAATAAATTCATAGTAAATATTTAGTCAGATAGGTGTCACAGTAATAGCCCACTTTGCTCTCATCCCTTACAGTTAGTCACCAATTATTAGTATGAACGTTGGCCATGGCCTTGCATTTCTTCCAACAACTTGATGAAATCTGGCTCATAATTTAAGTACCTACCAGTCCTCATAAATTATCCAAATTTACATACGTCATACTACTAAATGTAAAAAATATTTTAAATTTTTGGAGACAATCGAGAAAGAAAAAGTGCGCGCGCACTGCTCTCTTTCTCTCTCTTGCTGCCCCACTCAACTCCCGTTCGCCTCGCCCACAGAAAGTAAACAAGAAGGATATTTTATGCTTCTTTATTGGTTTTATGTTTTACTTTCAAGGCTGCCTGCTATATAGGAAAAAAGAAAATTTTGCCGGTAGCAATTGGTGCTGAAAATTTAAAGACGATAACAAAAACTATTCATATTTTGTTGTCTTCAATTTCAAGAATCATCTTTCAACAGGACACTGAATAAAGTAAAATTGCGTGACGATGCTTTCTTCCTTCACGAACCTTATTGGTAAGTAATGTTTGCATGTTGTGTCCAAGGGTCACGCCGCTTAGAAGGGGGGGTCGAGCGCGACCTAGTAGATGCAGCGAAAACACACGCGAGTGAAGTGTCAGTGTTGACCGACGCGATTGTGAGTGCAAAAGATTGCGGGCAAAGACAAGACTTCCCCGCCTCATTTCCTCCATGAACTGTCGGTCGTGCAATAATAATAATATTTTTAGTAAAATAAGAACTAATTACAATTTTATATATTAGTGTTAATAATAATATTTGTACAGTAATTAGTGTAAGTAACTAAGTGTAAAAATAATACTAAAACTTTATGTGATAGTATTCAAAAGTATCTCGAAGCCAGTGTACTTTGGGACTTTTTTACAAAAGATACTACAACCATGAAAGCCAATATTCTATAAAAACATCAATACATGTATTCATTTGATTTATTACAAAAAAATGTAGGCTTGAGATGTCCAAAAATAAGCATTGTAATAATTATTTGCTATAAAATCAAACTTATATTCAATATTTTATGCTGAACTTGTGGGTGAATTTATCATAATCATAATTATTAAATAAATCGTTTGCCGTTAAGTCTTTTCAAGAGATATTTTTATCAAACCGTGCAAAATGATTTAAACAAATAAATAAATTTAACCATTAACACCATGTCTAATTCTATACGAAACGGTAACAAACAAGTTTTCTCGTGAAACGGACATCTTTTCATTCGCAACGTTTTTCAATTAAACACGTCGGGAAACACTATTGAAGCCGCTATTAAAATAGAGTGTTTCAAAACCCTCTATTAAAATAGAGTGTTTCAAAAGCCGCTATTGATATTCGATAGATAGTTTCGTTTCGTTACTCAAAAAAGCCGCTACTACCCACCGCTAGTTCCGTCCAAGATGTGTCTAACAGTACGTTTGCACTGAGAAACATCCAACACGTAATGTTTTGAAACAAATCGCATGAAATAAATCACACAACATGTTTTGTTGATGGTGGCGTTCGCACTCACAAAAACTGTGTAAAATTTTCAACAGATATCAAGATTTGTTTTTAGCTGTGTTCGCATTGAATACAACATAAACATTCTACTTGTTTATCTATAGATTTGTCAACGTTAGCGTTCGCACTGTTGTTTTTTTATATTTCGCGATTTGTTTTAAATCGTGTTTTTCTGTTATCCAATTTAGTTGCAAAACATCACAAAACATTATCTACCCTAGCGGAGACGAATGATAACTTTATTCAAAATATATATGTTGTATCATCATCATCATCATCATTACAGCCCTTCACAAGTCCACTGCTGAACATAGGCCTCCCCCAAGGTATGCCACAAAGCACGGTCCTGACTCAGGACTCCTGAGCCACCTGCATCCATCGAGTACCTGCATGTCTTACCAGGTCG